TAACAAAACATTGGTCTTCCATTGATCTTTTGATATGTTTTGTTTTTTCACTGTCTTGTCATAGCCTTTACATAAAACGGACACAAATCTGTAATTGTTTAAAAATGCATCGATGTTGTAATATGAAGGAGGTGGCTGCTAAAATACAAGACAAAAGCCATAAATACAAATATTAGCCTATTTTAAAGCGTGTTTAAAGACTTAGCTTTTAAATTAAACATTGCTCAAAACTGCTACTGCATTAAAGTGCGTGAAAATGCATGTTGAAATATAAAGGGCACACATCAACATAACACACAAGAGTCTGCGGGAGGCAGGTGCGCGAAGTGTGCGCGTTCACAGCTCAGTTACGCGCAGGGTCGCGCGCTCTGAGGCATATATTTGAAGTCTCTCGCGCTGTTTTTTTTCTTCTCTTTCTCTCAGTTGGAGGTCTCGAGACATCCGTGAATCCGACAGAGTAAACTACCCGAGTTAACGACAACACAACAAGAAACAAACAAACAAACAAACAAACAAAGTGCGTACCTGAAGTGAGGCGCGTCCTCTGGAGACGGGAGGTATCCAAGCGTCAACACACACAAACACACACACTCTTACAGGCCTCAAACACTCACATAGCTCCACACACAGCCTCACACTCACCTGTGCAGGTTCACTAAGTTTTAGAAAGCTTCACATACGCCGGTAAAGAGCCTCTGTCGCTGTGTGTGTCTTTATATCTCCGCTTTGGCTTTACACAGCTAGATAAACCCCTTATACAGTTTGGGCTGTAGCTACATGGGTCTCTCTGTGTGTGTGTGTGTGTGTGTGTGTGTGTGTGTGTGTGTGTGTGTGTGTGTGTGTGTGTGTGTAGTGTGACACTGTGTCAGTGGGCAGTGGGCAGTGACACTGTCAGTAGGAACCTGAGCTCAGCTGCCAGGGTGTGTTCCTCTGTTCACTCCATGCTGCATCCTTCTGCTTCCTGCTTTAGCATTCTCGGCAAAACATTTACACAAAGCTTTATACAATCCAACAGTATTTGATCTGATCTTTAAAGCAAGTATATTTCTTTTTGTGTTGACTTTTTTCTGGCCCCAGTTTAAAAAGCTGAATGTTTCAATGAGCACCGACACCTCCACATCCAGCCAGCAAGAACCTGCATGTTTTTAAAAGCAACTGAAAGAAAGACACAACTTGGTGGAAAATAAGTTGACTCACTTTGGTGGTCTAGCGACTCTAGCCTATCTTATTAATGCAAACATGCTCATAGTCACAGGAAACTGTGTTATAACTGCTCCTCAAATACAGCTAATGTTAGCTATATTCAGCTAGTGTTACCTAGCTAGCAATGTTTTTCAATAAATATTGCATGGGGAGTTTTGCTATTCTGCTGCAAGGACAGACAGCATGCTGAACAGATTTCAAGCCCCTTGAAGGTCTGTATTTGCGATATAAAGAAATATATTTAAAAACATGTGATGGATAGAGGTCAGGTTAGTGGAACTAGCAACTTGCTTGTCTGATTGGCAAGGGTGAAAAATCATTTAAGAGGTTTTTGTCTTATCTGTTCAGAGTTGAACATGCAATCATGAAGGAAAAATGTGGAGGGCAAAGAGTATATTTTCATTGACTTAAAAAAAGATTAAACATGATAGTTCACTTTATTCTTTTATGACCTCTAATAAATAAAACACTTTATAGAACAGCAAGTTAAAGTTGCCTCCTGTCCCACTTTTCCCTGTGAATTTGTTTAATCAAATAAACATTATATATCGGTGTAGGAGGAAAAGGGATTAGTTGGAATGGGAATTGGAACCCCTTAATTCTCTTATGTTAAATGAGCGCCCAAGATTTCACTCTCTTTTTGCTGTGTATCTGACCCTTTAAGATGCTTGTCTCTCTGTGGCTGATACTACCTCTGTGTCAGCAGTAACCACAATATATAATGTCAACAATGAAAATGCACTATTCTGTTCAACTCACTAGCAAACCTTTCCTGTCAAGATGTGAAAACAGGCTCTTACTTAGGGTCTTAAATAGATATTTCCGATTTAGCTTGGGATCAGATCTTGATCAGCATTATAAAAACATGTAGAATAGCACATTTATCTTTTTTCTTTTCTTTTTTAATTTGCCACCACAGAAATGGCAATAGCAAACATCAGCAGACTGAAGATGAGCTATTAGCCCTTAGGCTCATCTGCTCCTGCACTCTAAAAACAAATGCCTTGGCTCAACAAAGAAAATCAACGCAACAGTTTGCATCGATGTTTATTGAGTTAAGACAACTTCTAATGAAATTGTCTTAAAGCAACAAAGTTATTTGAGTTAGGGGAGAAGGCTTTTCCTCTACAATCAGAGGTGTAATTAATGACCACTTACTTAATAATTGGTAGCATAAACACAAGTTTTGAAGTTGATTACTCAAAAAATTAAGTTGTTCCAACTCGTTTTACCGTATGATTTAAAAGGAATTTCAAGTTGTATGTACTTAATTACCATCATTGTGAACACACGTTTTTTAAGTTGACAAGCATTTATAAATTAAGTTGCTCCAAATATATTATATTCAATAGTTTTTTTTTTAGCCTTTTCATGTTTTTGCCTTTTAAAGAAAGAAATTAATTCCACAACAAAAATATTAGGCGATTCACTTTTTATTTTGAACTGCAGTTGTTTATTTCAACACATGATGTTTCAAATGGGAGAGAATTCATTTAATTTGAACATTTATTGAAACCATATGATAAGGTGCATGAACACCTGAAATCACAGCTGTCTGCAGGAGAGAGGAGAACCATTTTATGGTTTGGCTGCAGCGCGTTGATTGGCTGCTGGAGAATGAGGTGAAATGTAATAGGTTAAAGAGAACGCCTGATGAGCTGATTATAAGCAGCTGCGGAGTGAATGTATATACACCCAGTCTTCCTGAAAGAACTTGCGCTGAGCTTCATTTAAATCTTGAAAAAAAAGATGGATAACACAAATTTAAATTGCTCCACAAATAATAAATAAACACATTAGCCATATTACCATGGGAAATGGGGACACGCCAAATAAATGCTGCCATCACATCGAAGTTAGAGGCCTTTGCATATTTAAAACCAGTGCCAAATATGTAAAATCTGTAAAGTTTTTGTAAAACTACAGTAACAAACTCCAATGGCCACCAATCTGCAGATCACACACATCAATTTTACAAAATATGTAACAAAGATGTTTACACTGCCGACAGTCATTATTTCAAACAGTATGAACACATTGAACGCAGAATGCTTGCTCATTCATTCATGGTTGCCATCGTATGGTCAGATCCTGGGATGAACCGGTCACTGATGAATGCGATATTCATGCCCTTTTGAAGCACATTAAATAATAGGTTAGCGCATTAGAGATAATGAATTAGGTAATTGCATACTTTTTAAACTGTCACTCTTAGCTAATTCAGAGCCATTATTACCAGCTGCTAAAGCAACNACTTCAATAATTATTATGTAGGTCTACCAAACAATTATTAAAAAAATAATAATCATAAATAATAAAAGGCAGAACATTATTATTATTATTATTATTATTATTATTATTATTATTATTATTATTGACTGTATAGTGGGAATGAATGTGCCTGAGGGGGCATGTTGGGGATCAGAAGGGGATTTAATGGCAGAACAACGCGCTCTTTGTGTGCCTCTAATCCGGCCTGTACCCCTCTCCGCCTCACTGTGGCTCTACCTCTGGACTCCACACTCTGCAAAGGGTCGCCTAATTATTTTAAGGGGCCAATTTCGAAAAAAGGTTAATAACAATAAAAACCTGCAAAAGCCTCAATAAGACTAAAAGGGTTTTATATACACTCACATTGTTCTGTGATGTAACTTGCCAGGTGCCAAACACTTAGTATTTCTGTCTTTATTTCCTTTTTTGTGAATTTATGCGTTGTTTAAATTGCTCTAAGAAACGGTTCATAACAATGAAACCTGATGGGTTACGAAACATTCACATTCATTCATTTACGTTGTTTAAATAACTTTTAAATAGTTTATGTAACAACAGGTGTCAGTGTGACTGTAAGTCTTTCTTGAATCATTAAACCAGAGAAAATGAGGCGTAAAACTTCATATTCAGCATTATAGGCCAGCGTGAACAGGTTGTGCGTGCATTCGCTTGCGCGTGCCCAATAGAGAAAGAGAGAGAGAGACAGAGAGCGAGCGAGCGAGGGAGAGAGAGAGAGAGAGAGAGAGAGAGAGAGAGAGAGAGAGAGAGAGAGAGAGAGAGAGAGAGGGGGAGGGCTCATGTGTCTACTTGGGTAAGAAGTTACTTCTAATTAGCCAGCCTCCTCTTGCTCGCCTCACTTGTCCACCGTGCAGATCCAGAAGATCCTCTCCTCCAGGCACCAGGCTCTCTTTTACACCGCCTCCCAGCTCCCATCAGCCCGCAGACGGTCGAACTGTTGCGGAACTGCTGCTTTGGGCACCTGTCACCTGGCGAAACCGGTGCGCACTGCCATTACGCATGACTTGGATGGAGAAACCACACCATTGCCAGGGTGTCTATCAGTGAGCTGTCATTTGTTAATGTGGAGTCTTTATTTATAGCCTTGGGTTAATTTATAGCTATTGTTTTTGCTTCTTATCGGAGGTTAGAATATAAACACAGTGTCTATATTTTGTGTTTTACGCACCTGATCCAGCGCTTATACACCTGACAGCACAGGTGTTTAATCGAAGGCAGTATAGCTAAAGGGAAAACAACTAATTGACAACTAACCCAAGGTAAAAAATAAAAAAAACAGAGAGGGAGGGAGTGACAGAAAAAACGAGAGAGGGAGAAAGAGAGAGAGAGAGAGAGAGATAGAGCGAGAGAGAGAGAGAGAGAGAGAGAGAGAGAGAGAGAGAGAGAGAGAGAGAGAGAGAGAGAGAGAGAGACACATCCCTAGAGACTAGCTCGGAGACCCGGCCCCCGGCCTGAGAGAAGGAGAGAGAGTGAGGTAGTGAGGGAGTGTTTTAAAGCCAGCAGGAGGCATGATGTCCTACATTAAGCAACCCCATTACTCCGTGAACGGGTTAACGCTGTCCGGCCCGGGCATGGATCTGCTCCACTCCGCCGTTGGATACCCCAGTGAGTACCTTTAACTTGTTTTATTTTTAAATACTTAAAATATGTCGTTAAATTGTAGTTTACTTTTTTTTTTAAAGTGTATTTTCTCATACAGAAACTGAAAAAAATATGACAAATATATCTCTTGTATTTTGTTTTTTTTAGTAGGGATCTGAGTATAAATACATGTCTCTGATTCTTCATCCGTCGGAACATGTGTTCACTTGACCTATAAATGCAGCGGATTACAGAGTCAAAAGACAATAAGAAAAACGTGTGAAAGGAAACGCAGCTTGTTCTCACACCGACTTAACTTTAAACCAGTCTCCAATCTGTTGCTCTTATCGTGTACTAACCTATTTACTTAAGGATGAGCATTGTATTTTATTCGGTGCCATAATGTAGTTTCTATGAATGAACACTTATTATATTGTTCGGATGGATCAGCATCTGTCACCTACGAGAAGAAGAAGGATAGACTTTGAGTAAAGGGACGCCGAGGTTTGGCACCGATGACAGAAGGCGTGAAATAAAGCGTGGCCTTCTTCTAGCAGATTATATTTTACATTTAAAATATGTATGGATTTGGAGTCACTTTCGTTTCTTTGTTTTGCATATTTCGATTAAAACTGTCTCGGTTATGAAGCTACAACCTCAACACCTTTTATAAATGTTCACGAAACTTCGTAAAATACACAAAACATCGAAACATTTTTGACTAACACTCAGTTTCTTCTAATACGACACGAGTTGCCATTATAATCCCACAAAAAAACATTTAATTATATTCAACTTCATCCGGTTAATTTCTAGACGTGTTCTGTAATATCATTTAAATTAAAAATGACATTTTAAGCAATTTATAAAATAAAGAACCGGAGTGTAGTTAAGTGTTATTCCTACAAATGTAAGATAAATGACTCTAATAATTTACTTGATTATTTTAATGTTACATTGTTCGTATTCAAATAGCCTTTTAAATGTAGGCTACTCAAGGGATTTTAAAAGCAATGTAAGCACTATTTCCAATCTATTGACCCTGTCAATGTGTTTTACTTCTGAGTTAAACCTGTGAACCAACACAGACAAAGCAATGTTATTTAAAATAAAAAACAACCGAAGAATAATAATAAAAATAATAATAATAATGTTTTTCGTTTTTTGGTTTTTTTCTAGACACACCGCGCAAACAGCGTCGAGAGCGCACCACCTTCACGCGCGCACAGCTGGACATCCTCGAGGCTCTGTTCTCCAAAACGCGCTACCCGGACATCTTCATGCGCGAGGAGGTGGCCCTCAAGATCAACCTGCCGGAGTCCCGAGTCCAGGTAATAAAGAAATACAAAGTGAATTTACTCAAGTACTGTAGTTATTTTTAAATGTTGAGGTACTTGTACTTGAGTGTAAATATGTTATTCTTCGGTATACTTCAGCTTCAAAACCGTTTGAAGGCTAATATTGCACTTGTTTCCTATTTTTCATTTATTTTACTTTATAGATGCAGATATAAGCTATTACAAAATGTTATTAAAAAAGGTTAAACATCCACTAATATGAAATACTTTAAATTATTTCCACCTTTACCAGCTGTGGTGAACACATTAATGCATCAATAATAATACACACTAATGTAATATGTATGATTCTGCACTGGGCCACCAAGTACTTTTACTTTTGGAACTTCAAGTATATTTTGATGCCAATGTACTTTAACTTATTTAAGATTTTGAATGCAGTACTTATACCTGTAACAGAGTATTTTTAAGATGTAGTACTGCTACATTGGGTTGAATAAAAGATCTTCCTCAACCTCTGTTTAGAATTACGTTTAATTTATGTTTCCTCTTTTGATGGATGTCTTTTATAACAGAAAATGTCTGTATGAAAGCTTATTTTCTCACAATAGCAGCTCCTATAGTTTCTCTTTTTTCATAAGTAGTCATTTTATAATTCATATTTAATATTGACAAATGTCTTTTATAATAACTTTAAAGCAACAGAACATGCCTGTATAAGAGGTTATTTTCTCACAATAGCAGCTCTCTATCTTTTATCATAAAGTAGTCATATTTAATAATCAACCTCCTCTCTGATGCCATCCTTCCAGGTTTGGTTCAAGAACCGCCGTGCAAAGTGCCGCCAGCAGCAGCAGCAGAGCACCGGTCAGTCCAAACCGCGGCCCCCTAAGAAGAAGGCGTCTCCGGCCCGCGATAACCACTCTGAGGCCAGCGTCAACGCCCCCAACGGGTCCTACAGCCCCCAGCCTCCTCCTCCAGGCACCTCCATCACGCCCAGCTCCAACGCTGCCAGTGCCACGGTGTCCATCTGGAGCCCGGCGTCCATCTCCCCGCTGCCAGACCCCCTGTCTGTGTCCGGGACCCCCTGCATGCAGCGCACCGCCACCTACCCCATGGCCTACAGCCAGGCACCGGCCTACAGCCAGAGCTACGCAGGCTCCTCCTCCTACTTCACGGGCCTGGACTGCAGCTCCTACCTGTCCCCGATGCACCCCCAGCTGTCGGGCACCGGAGGAGCCCTGAGCCCTATCACGGCCTCCTCCATGGGGGGTCCTCTCAGCCAGTCTCCAGCCTCACTCTCCTCCCAAGGGTACACGGCCGCATCACTGGGCTTCGGAGCCGTCGACTGTCTAGACTACAAGGACCAAGCTGCCTGGAAGCTCAATTTCAATGCCACTGACTGTCTGGACTACAAAGACCAGAACTCCTGGAAGTTCCAGGTCTTGTAAAATGTGGAAGAAGTGGGTCAATGGGGAGGGAAAGGGGGGTTAGAGGAAGTGAGTTTTAGGAAATTGAAGAGATCTTTGGACACAGAAATCAATGAATCAGCTGAAATAAATCATTTTGGGTGCAAGGAAACTGATCTGCTGATGCTCCACTTGGTGATTGTAACAAAGAGATCACAGTGTAGGTTTAAGCGACATAGAAATCAGCCTTGAAATCATTGAACGGCTGAGTAAAAGGAGAACAAACTTCCCATTTTTTGTACAATAAAATCAAATTAGTGACAACAGATTTCATTGTGGTATTGTTGTGATTAAGATACAGTTTGTTGCTGATGACAGTTTAAAGTGAAATGCATTAGCAAAGGTGGATACTCCTCGCATGCTGAATGCTTTCGGTTGATTACTCAATCATATCGAGCTGAAACTGCTTTTCACATTTGAAGCAGATTGAGTGACGTACAGGTTTACTTTGCATAGGCAGCCTTTGAAATGGACGTGTTAAATCATAAGAACTGACCCACGCTCATGTTTATTTCTTCCTTCTAGACTTTGTCTCGTATTTTCTGTGATGTATTTCTTTTATAACGCTGCTTTTCATCAGCAAGCTGCCTCAAGAAGCTTTGAGTCAAACATCTATCGAGTAGGTGTCTCTAACAGGGTGGCCACTAATTAGAAACCATGAAAAAAAAAAAATAATAACTTACAGCAGCAGACAGAAGCTGATGATTCCCAGTAGCCTTTGTGTGATACTGACCCTCTGCAGCCTGAGTGTGATAAACGCGGAGGGGGTAGAGTTGCTCACCGAAGCGACTGCAGTACAAACCTGTTGCCTTTGAGCAAATCATTAGCAGAATGGCTCGTGCATTGTTAGTTTAATAGGATCACTTCCACACAATTTGCGCAACAATGGTGGCATTGTGGCAGCCGAGTACCCCCCCACCACCCACCCGACTCCATCTCACAGTGTTTGCATGAGGTTAGCAGATTGTTGGTGTAGTTTTTGAATGACTTTACGATAAAAAGATGTTGCTGGTAAACTGCTGCAGGAGGTATGTGATGGAGAGGAGGCTGCACCAGAGAAAGGGAAGGGTCTGGGCCGCCATGCAGCCCCCCTTTGCACAGAGAGTTTGGTGCCTCTCTCAACTCCAACCTGTAAAGATGTGATGGCTACCACTTTATGTGTTTGATGTATCGTTTGATTTTATTTGATTTTTTTGTATTAGACTTTAACAATATTATGTTTCTTTAAAAAAAAAAATGTGTGAATTCGTTGAAGTAAAAATTGTGGTAATTTGTTTTGAAGTTCAGTATTAATATTATGTCTTCAGCTGACATGGACGTTGCTAATATACTTTTGTTTCTTTTGTAAATATTAAAACTTGAAAATGCAATCATGTCTGAGGCGCTCCACCCAACAGAATCTCTCTCTTTCTTAATTTCTAGAAAAACTGCCAACTTTTTTTTGTTTTTGTTTATATTTTTCTGGTTTCTTCTTCTTCTTTTTCAAACTCAGGGGTTTATCCAATAGAAGTAGCAGTAGTAGGATACAATGCTGTTTATGCTTCTTAATCACTTACTGTACTTTTAAGTTTTGCATTGCTATAATCTTCTCTGCTTATTTTTTCTGACATGAATTATTTTGTATATTTCATTCGTCTCCTGTGTTCGACCAGTCTCACCACTACCATGCTAGATAGCTATGATGTTTCTGAGACATTAAACAACTTCATTAAAACACTCTGGGGTCATTCTGTTCTTAAGTCTGAAGTCACGGTTCTTCCGAAAATGCAACGTATACTTAAAGGGGCCCTATAAAGCTTTTTGGCGTTTTCCCTCTCATGTAGTGTGTTGTATAGGTTTTTTTAGTGCATGTAAATACGATACGATATACATTATTGTCCCCGTAAGGACATTTATTCTGGACTCCGTCCTGCAGTTCCGCATGCATGTACATGTACAAACATAGTAGACATTAAGAGACATACACATATCATCAGTCATACACCGTTTGAACAAACACAATACACTGACGCACATACTGACAATGGCGACCTATTGCCCAACCCTCATGGCCAACATTTAAAAAGTGCATTTCATTACATTTGACTACATTTCATTTCATGTGAATGTTAAGAAGCTTAATGGACATAGGTAGGAATGAGTGCTTATAGCGGTTCAGCCTGCTCTTGGGAACCCTGAATCTTGAAGCTGGAATTCTGGGTGGAGTATGTGGGTGGGATCAGACACAATTTATTTTGCCTGTCTGATAATGGACTGCTCGTATATGTTTTGGAGGGATGAGTGTTTTGGTCTAAAAAGGCTTAAATCCCAAAGTGTCTCCCCCCTGCCTGAAACGCCTCCATTGGACTCATTTGTTCACTTCTGTAACATAGTGACATCACTATGCAACACTCGGTTTCTATTAGCTAGCGCTCAAACACTTTGTACGTGATGGGTTAAGGGGCGGGACATCTTTAAGCGGTTGACCAATCACAACTGAGCCGGCCAGCTAACCAATCAGAGCAGACTGGGCTCTGGTTTCAGACAGAGGGTGAAAAGAGGTGCTGCAGCACAGGCAGTATGAGAACAATAAAGAGCTTTTTGAACATTAAAGCTTGGAGACATGTCCCAGTAGAGACACTAAATACGAACTTGAAACTTAGCATAATAAGGCCCCTTTAAGAAATGTTTACAAATAACAAACAAAGAAGTAGGTAAAACCGAAATATGAAAAATGACCCTGGGAAATAAAATATGTGTATCAGAATTTAATTTAATGGGGAAATAATATCGCAGGAAACCGATGGACTGTCCACTCCAAGTAGGGAATGAGTCCTTACCCCAAGTGAAGGAGTTCAAGTATCTCGGAGTCTTGTTCTCGAGTGAGGGAACAATGGAGCGTGAGATGGGTCGGAGAATCGGAGCAGCGGGAGCGGTACTGCAGTCGCTTTACCGCACCGTTGTGACGAAAAGGGAGCTGAGCCAGAAGGCAAAGCTCTCTGTCTACCGGGCCATTTTCGTTCCTACCCTCACCTATGGTCATGAAGGATGGGTCATGACCGAAAGAACGAGATCGCGGGTACAAGCGGCCGAGATGGGTTTTCTCCGCAGGGTGGCTGGTGTCTCCCTTAGGGATAAGGTGAGAAGTTCGGTCATCCGGGAGGGACTCGGAGTTGAACCGCTCCTCCTTCGCGTCGAAAGGAGCCAGTTGAGGTTGTTCGGTCACCTAGTAAGGATGNGGATAAGGTGAGAAGTTCAGTCATCCGGGAGGGACCCAGAGTTGAACCGCTCCTCCTTCGCGTCGAAAGGAGCCAGTTGAGGTTGTTCGGTCACCTAGTAAGGATGCCACCTGGGTGCCTCCCTAGGGAGGTGTTCCAGGCACGTCCAGCTGCGAAGAGGCCAAGGGGTAGACCTAGGACCAGGTGGAGGGATTATATCTCTTCGCTGGCCTGGGAGCGCCTTGGGATCTCCGAGTCAGAGCTGGTTGATGTGGCCAGGGAAAAGAAAGTTTGGGGCTCTCTGCTGGAACTTCCACCCCAGCGACCCGACCACGGATAAGCGGGAGAAGATGGATAGGAACAATGAAACACAATTCTTCCAACTGAGAATTATGAGTTTCATTGATTCAAATTAAAAAGAGCAGATCAGTAGGTAAACATTTTACCAAGAATAGCATTGATTATAAAAACATACCAGTGACTGAAGCAATGTGAACAAAATAAATATTAAGCTTAATTCACTTTTGAGTATAAAACAATACAAATTACAATCCGTAATGTTATAAGATCTAAATCTGTCTCTTCTCCTGACACATCTTTGTTTTTTAGATGCTAGAAGAAGGTCACGTACCTACTGTAGAACAGCTCATGACTAAATTCCAACTGTTTCCTTCCTCTTCTAGGAATTTACACACACATATGATGTCCAACTCACGTCATAATCTATTAGTGGAGAATATTTGACGCAATGCTCACATTATCTTTGGGTTATGGAATTAAGAAGTGCTCAGTGTTTTACAACATAATGAGAGAGGTTATAAGACAGAAAGCAGACAGAAGGCTTTCTAAATGACCGCTTTCACCTTGTAGCACATGTTTACTGGAACGACCAGTTCCTTATTGATCTGACTCATATTGGTGAGACAGGAGTGAAACTCCCTGTCATTTCTCTTTTAAATTCCATACAAATTAATGTTATTCATCCTGTCAATCATTAAACTTAGATACATGGTGGAATGTGACCATTTACAATTACTCATTACTCCAGCAGAATTTATTTTGACAATTTGATTGTACCTACAGAATACAATGTATTGTTATAGATTAAGACCATACATATCTGGTAGAGCCCCTGAAGTCCTCCCAATCATTTTAATGAGTTTACTTGTTGCACATGATAATCACTATATTTTGTTCATAAATAGATTATCTTTCAGAACCACAAAGTCTCCATTTTGAATTATTCTCAAAGGGTTTATGTTTAACATTTACATTCGCTACACTTAATTTGTTTTTTGTTGTTTTTTCAACACAGGTCTTTTACCTGTTACTGAGCATTTTTACAGTGGGTTATTACTACTTTTGTTTTTAGTAAAATATAAAAATACTTTGTCCAGCTCTGATTAAGAGTAATACACTGACAGACTAATCTGAAGCAGGATGGTTTGAATTATGGTCCAAAAAGCTCGGGTCCTTATCTGATGTGCCATCAAGGAGTAGCCTACATGTTTATCTAAGCAGAGTACAAACTCCTGACAATGAAAAGAAACAGGATGCAGAGAGCACTACAGGAAACACACAAGTACCACCGCACCGCACTGGAACCAGCTCATTAGCAGCGTCTGTTAATACAACCCTGTCTCCTCAAAATTACGTTCCCACAGGACTGAACTGCATTCACAGAGCTTGAGGACTAATCACGGGGTTTGTCCATGGGTTTGTCAAGCAAAGCGGACTGGTACCGTGTAGTCCCAAATGATAGCTGAGGATTCTGGGTAGTATAGT